CAGCCCTGTCTTTCTCTACTGTCTCCATGTGTTACACAATCCCTAATGAGCATAAGCTTATTACATTTAAGGCTTTTGCTGCAGTCTAATTTCATCCTGAGGCTACTTTTTGCTGTTGGGAATTCTCAAGTTGGCTAAATTGTACAAATCTTACTGTACCAGTTAGTATTGCATGTCACAGAAACCCAGCTGCAGTAGCTTCATCACATGCCAGAAGCTGAAGTTTGGCAGTCCCCAGCTGCATGACAGTTCCATGAGGCTACTGGGGACTCAAGAGTCTAGCTTTCTGCTCTGCCATCAGAGAATGAAGCTTGCATTTGTATGTTCAAATGCTGGCAGCTACACCTCCAAGTACTGGGCGCGCATTCCAGATCGCAGAAAGGGGATAAGGCCAAGGGCAACAGACAAAAGGACTTGTGCCAGCTGGGTCAGCCCCCCAGCTTTCCCAGAAGCTCCATCCAGAGACTTCCATGTACATCTCACTGACCAGAATTACATCAAATAACCATCCTAGCTGTAAGAGAGATGGGGAAGCATTTCACACTGCAGGTCACTGCTATGAATAAAATCTGGGTTCTGATCATAAAGAGAGATTGGATAACCCCTTCTGAGCAAAAGATATTATTTTATTTTATCATTTTATTTTATTTTTTGAGATGGAGTCTTGCTCTGTCACCCAGGCTGGAGTGTAGTGGTGTAATCTTGGCTCACTGAAACCTCTGCCTCCCAGGTTCAAGCAATTCTCCTGCCTCAGCCTCCTGAGCAGCCGGGATTTCAAGCACACACCAACACACCCAGCAAATTTTGTATTTTAGTAGAAATGGAGATTCACCATGTTGGCCAGGCTGGCCTCGAACCCCTGACCTCAAGTGATCCGTCCACCTCGGCTGCCCACAAGTACTGGGATTATAGGCATGACCCACCGCGCCCAGCTAAAATATGATTTTAAACCAATTCTATTAGCTGTTAGTATGCATGGCTTATCCACCCTGGGAGACTGCATACTCCTGTAGGGCAGAGATGCCTTTTTTCATGTTTATATCTTTCATACTTCTACCATGGGGCTGAAGCTGAACATGGATCATATTTGGAGGCAACAGTGGGGCAGTAAGGTTAGACACTAAGATGAAACAGGTTTCTGAAGTGCTCAACAAGGAGCCACAGCAGGTTCTTTTTTTGTTTTTTATTTTTTGATACGGAGTCTCGATCTGTCACCCAGGCTGGAGTGCAGTGGCACCATCTTGGCTCACTGCAGCCTCGTAAGGTCATCTTTGCCCAGTATCCTCCAGAGACCCCCACCAGCCCTCACCTTCATTCTTTGCTGATATTGGCACTCCTCTCTCCATCAGCCACATCGCCATGGCCCCTCCTCTTCTCCAACAGCTCTGTGGTTCATGGTGCCCCCTGCCATCTCTCCGTGTGGGGTGGGATTGGTGGGCAGCAAGCAGAGGCCAGAACCAGCACGCAGTGGTATGCCAGGAGGTGTTTAACAACCAACTTGAGGCCGGGTACCACGGCTCACGCCTGTAATCCCAGCACTTTGGGAGGCTGAGGTGGGCAGATCACGAGGTCAAGAGATGGAGACCAACCTGGCCAACGTGGTGAAACCCTGTCTCTATTAAAAATAAAAAAATGTAGCTGGGCATGGTGGCGTGTGCCTATAGTCCCAGCTACCGACAAGCTGAGGCAGGAGAATAACTTGAACCGGGGAGGTGGAGGTTGCAGTGAGCCGAGATCACGCCACTGCACTTCAGCCTGGGCAACAGAGCCAGACTCCGCCTCAAAAAAAAAAAAAACAAAACCACAACAACAAATTCGGGGGATGAGTAGCCCTGATTTATACTGTTTGCCAACTTCCATGGTGTAAATACTCCTAGCATCTCCAATTTCAAGCCACCAATATGAGATCACTGATCACAGAACAGGAAGAGAGAATGGATCACACTTCTTCCTGCATCCATTTCCTCTCTGCCTCCCTGACCCCTCCACAGACCTCTGGGCTGACAGCAGCAATGGCGCAGGTCCAAGCTGGGAGGGCAGCAACGGCACTGTGGCTGCAACTTCAGGCAGTCCTGAAGGGGAAAAGAAAAACTGCTCTCCTCCAGGGACATCTCCCCCACCCACAGTCCCCAGTCATCTCTTATCTCAGCCTCACATCTGAATTCTCAAGCGTAACTTCAGAATCTCATAGTAATTTGGGGCCTGAGATATAGAGACATTCAGATGATTCATCAGCCACTTTCTCGCTGGACATGGCTCAACACCATAAACCTTGCTGACTAAGGCAATAAAAACCAGAATATAATTTCCTTCCTTCCAAGGAAACAGAAGAGGAAAACAATCCAAGGATAGTTTTCTCTCACTGATTTACTCACTCTTCATCACTCTCCTACAGAACTGTGGGGCAGCTGGCACGCTATAAGCCTGAAGTCTCTCTGCAGAGTCCACCATTCAGGAGGGCAGGGGTTCTGGAGTCAGACCTGGTTTGAATCCTGGGTCTCCTGTTACAGCAAAGTGATGCTGGGCAAGTTACATCTGTCTGAGCTTCAGTTTGCTCATCAGTGAAATGGGACAGTAATACTACCTACTCTATGGGGTTAGACTGTAGGAGTTCTCAACTGGGGACAATTTTGCTTCTTGGTGTGACATCTAGCAATGTTCAGAGACATTTATTATCACATTGGGTGGGTGGGCAAGTGCTATGGGTATCTAGTAGACAGAGGCCAGGAAAGCTTTTAAACATCTTCCAATGATACTGTTTGGCTGTGGCCCCACCGAAATCTCATCTTGACACCAGGCACAATGGCTCACGCCTATAATCCCAGCACTTTGGGAGGTCAAGGCAGGTGGATCACTTGAGATCAGGAGTTCAAGACCTGCCTGGCCAACATAGTGAAACCCTGTCTCTACTAAAAATATAAAAATTAGCTGGGAGTGGTGACACACACCTATAGGTCCAGCTACTCAGGAGGTTGAGGCAAGAGAATCACTTGAACCCAGGAGGAGGAGGCTGCAGTGAGCTGAGATCATGCCACTGCACTCTCCAGCCTGAATGACCGAGGGAGAGTCTGTCTCAAAAAAGAAGGAAAAAAAACTCATCTTGTACCTCCCATAATTCCCGTGTGTTGTGGGAGGGACCCAGTGGGAGATCATTGAATCACAGGGGCAGTTTCTCCCATACTATTCTGGTAGTGCATAAGTGTCGTGAAATCTGATGTTTTTAAGAGGGGTTTCCCCTTTCACTTGGCTCTCATCATTCTCTCTTGTCGGTTGTCACGTAAGTCGTGTCTTTTGCCTTCTGCCATGGTTGTGAGGCTTCCCCAGCCACGTAGAACTGTGACTCCATTAAACCTCTTTCCTTTATAAATTACCCAGTCTCAGGTATGTCTTTATCAGCAGCATGAAAATGGACTAACACAAGCCCCCTCCCCCAACAATGAATTATCCAACCCCAAATGTCTATAGGGCCAGGTTGAGAAACCCCGGCCTAGAGGGAACATTCAGTGAGGTTATACACATGAAGTACTCTAAGTCTGTCTGCTTACTTTTTGTAAGCTCTCAGAAAACAAGCTGCGATTCTTTTGGAATAGCACAGTCTCACGCTTCTATTTCCAGACCTGAAATGGATGGGATGTGAAAACCCTTGATTACTGAGAGCCTAGTTCACTGCTCCAGGTGTGAGTCATCCTGCAAATGTCAATTCCTTGTATTTAAAGCAGAGCTGAGACTGCACAAGTAACTCTGGGCCAGAAGCTCTTCCAGGTTGTCTTGGGAAAGGCACAACCTTAGGCTGAGAGGGAATAATTTTGTCCCGAAGCTCTCCTTCCAGGAGGTTCAAGCATTTCAAGACTCAGAGACACCACACTGCTCACCCTAGGTGGGTGTATGGTTTCCACCTCACCCACTCACAGTGGGGCTTGGGAAGACCTCAGAAAAGTATCTAAAACTCAGAGGCCTTGCTTATCCCAAATATCTTCCTTACCAGTGTGCAGTGGTTTGATCCTCCCCTGCAACCTGATGTGACATTCCTTCTCCAGAGTTGCAGTTTAGGGCCAACACAGTTCACTCTCTCCAATTAATACACATTAATGTTTGTGGATGGATTTAAAGGCAGATCATCTTTATGGGGTAGGTGGAGGTGTGCAGGGGACCCAGGATCAGAGGTGTTTAAGAGAATCTGGGCAAAGTACAGAGGCACTGGGTGTTTTAAAGGAATGGTGAAAGAGAGAAGGCAAAGGCAAGTCAGGGAGCGTCTGCAGGCTTTGGAGGTATGCCCACGTCTTTCCTGAGAAGTGCTGTGCCCAGAGGCAAACAGGTGGTGGGAGAGACAATAAGGGCATCCAAGATTGCCGATAACAACCTGTACCTCTGGCCAAGCTCCACCTCTCCTGAGTCACTGAAATGCAAAATCCTAGGGGGTGGAAAGACATTTGGGGGCCCCCAGTCCAGCTTCTTTCTTGCCTGCCATCTCCCAGCTGGTCAGTGGCAGAGCCAGGGTGGGAACCAGAGACTGCTTGGCTCTGAAGCAGCCTCAAATGCTCCACGGGCCAGACAGGTGACATAAGGTTAGATGGTTGGGTAAAGAACAGAGGGGCGGGGGAGCTGTAAGGAAACACAGGCTCTGCTCTAAGGCGTTCAAATTCAAATTAAAAAAAAATATTGGGCCAGCCAAACAAAGCATATTTCTGGCCTGGGTGAGAGGATGAGGGCCTCAGGTTGTGAGTTTTTGACCACTGCCTAATAAAATGGTCTTCCCTATCCCCCCAGCAGAGATGGCTGGGGGGATAGGGAAGACCATTTTATTAGGCAGATCCAGAAAACAGCTTTCAGCTTTGGACTGTCTGTAAAACAGTCCCAAGCAGATGGTGGTCTTTGCACAAACACTTTCAGAGATGGGGTGTTCCTTTTCCAGATGGCTTTAGATGGGGCCTGCCTATCACTGGACTAGAGCCACTAACCACACCTGCCACAGACCCTTGATAGAAGTGGGATGCCCAGGATAGGAGCACATCTTTTATTTTGCAAACAAAAAAATTTAAGTTTTGATTTATTTTAAAGACTTCCTCACTCTGTTACCCAGGCTGGAGTGCAATGGCACGATCATGGCTCACTGTAGCCTCAAACTCTTGGGCTCAAGCAATCCTCCGGCTTCGGCCTCCTCTCTGGCTGGGGCTGCAGGTGCGAACGACCATGACCCGCTTATTCTTTTATTTTTTGCATAGATGTGATCTCTGCTATATTGCCCAGGCTGTTCTCCAACTCCTGGCCTCAAGAGATCCTCCTGCCTTGGCCCCCCAAAGCGCTGGGAGGACTGAGCCACCACGCCCGGCCTGGAATTTATTACAAATAAAATACAAGCTCAGTGTGGAAATACTAGGTAATACAGATGAGCAAAAGTTAGAAAAAATTTCCATACCTTCCCTACTCCCCATCTCCCACCCCCATTCAGAAAGAAGCACTGTTGACACCTCGATGCATATTCCGAACTCCAGGTCCTTTCTTTGCATACATTAAGCTCTCAGCCTCTTGCCGCCTTTGTGGTCGCAAACCCATCGAGCAGATGCTTTGCTCAGCGCTCGTACCACGCTGCCTCTCCGGCGGTGGAAGGGGTGTACCACGCACCCACACGCTCTCTTTGTACCTGGGTTACAACCCACAGGTAGGGCCCATCTAGGCCTTTGGCTCCCCAAGCTTCTCGAGGGCAGACACTGTAACCTTCTTTACTCATTCCAGGAACTCTACAGCATCAGACACACAGTAAGAGTTCAGTAAAAACGTCTCTACCCCTACCAGCTCCCGCCTCAGCCGCCACCGCCTGGCTGCAGAGACGAAGCGGAATGCGCACGACCCACGAGGGAGAGCGCCTCGCTGTCTCCAAGGTAACCGAAGTCAGAGGCTGGGAGTGCCCACGCATGCGCACACTCGCCCTTCCTTCCCGTAACCTCGAGAAGAACGCAGCCGGTAAGACTGCCAGAAGCCGAGGGCGCATGTGTGGTTCCACCAACACCCGAGGCGCCTCCGCCTTCTGTCAGTCCGCCAGCCCAGCAGCCGCCCCTCTACAAACATCGTCCGGAAATAGTGCCCATTTCTGGAAACCAGACCTCGTTAACCAATCATTGCTAGAGAGTAGGAAGACGGGCTTACCAGGAAAGGCCGTCTCATTGGCTGGCTTGGGGAAGTGGGCGGGGCCACGGGTCTCAGTGCGACCAAAGAAAGGAGGCGCGAAGTGAGACAAAGTTTCAGCCGTCGGGGGAGGCGTGGCCCCAGCGGCGACCTAGAAGGTGAGGGGGCGGAGCCCGGGGCCGGGGCGGGGCGATCGCGGGCCGGGAGCTCAGCGGTCGGCTGCCGGCGGCGGGAGATCGCAGGCTAGCGGAGCGTTACACTCGTTTGGTTGAGGAGATCGGCGCTCGGCCGGTAGGTGATGGGGCGGGACCCTGGGACCCGTAGCGGGAAGCCCAGGGAGCGACGGGGATGGATCTCCCCTCAGCCCTGGGCTGGGCTGCGGCCTGGCCCCTAGCCCCGGAGCAGTGGGGTAGGCTGCCTGGCCAGCGCAGCTCGACGTACCCCGTTCGACCCACTCGCGGCAGTCCGCAGGCGCGCCATCGCACGCGCTGCCGGCGCCGCGCTCGCCCCGGGGCTCCAGGCCGCGCACTCCCGCCAGCCACACGCTGGTCCCGAGCGCGCGCAGAGGCGCCCTTCTTCCCCTTGACGAGCTCCCCGTGCCGCCAGGGCCGCCTGGTGTGCGCCCGTGTCCTCCCAGGATGGGGCTCTCCTGGCGCGGGGAGGACGTATCTGATGCTGGAGTGCGTCCTCTCATCTGCCCTGGCGTGAAACCCTCCTGGCCTTTCCTGGGAGGTTCTCAGGTTACACACCCCCAAGGCAGGGAGCAGGATCTGACTGAGCCTGTCCTCAGCAAGCAGCGGGGCAGTGCGGGACGCCCGCAGCATCCTCCCTCGGCCCCCTAACCCCAGTCCTCCTGTGTAGTTCTTCTCGGCTCTCCAACTCTCTCCAACTCGGGACTTTATCTGTTGGTTCAGATATATTCCCGTCTTGGAAGCCCATCGTGGCCCTGGCATCTTGCAGCCACCGGGCACCAAGCAGACAGGGGCCACTTGTACCGTTTCCCACCTGCCCAGGAGCCTACTTAATGCTGGATAACTTCAGAAAAAATGTTTTCTTCCTAGTTGAGGTTAAAAAGTTGCTTTCGGCCCTAAAGGGTGGACTGGAGGTATGACTGAGGGAGAGGATAACTGGTGAAAATGTACATACATCAGCAAAGTAAACGGCCAAATTACTTTTGATCACTCGAGACAATGAACGTCAATGACTTAATTAAGGACTTTAAAAGCACTTGAAATTAAATGACGAGAGTGAGTTCACGATATAAAATAGCAGCCGAGTTTATTCCAGGTAAAATGTTGAAAAGCCCTTGACTAGAAACATGGTGGTTCTGAAAGATTAGAAAGAGATAGTATGTTAACATTAGTGATGTAATTTCTACTTGGTGTCTTCATACCTGTAACAGCGAGGCGCTCATACCTGTAACCTCCGTTTTTTTTTCCTTCGGATGGCTGTGTGGTAAGATAGATTGTAGTGTCCTGTTTTATGGGTGAGGCACCTGAGGCAGGTGTGAATGGCGGGGGGTGGGGGGGGTGGGGGGGGTGATACATATCTTACCTGATCCCTCACAGCTGGGACTGAGGATGAGTCCCAGGATCCTAGATCAGGAGCACATTATAGAATTCAGATGCAGATAGGAGGGAGAAGTTTTCGGCGTGGTTTTTATGCTCTTAAAGTGAGAGGACACTTCAAAAGTGGTTGCCTTGCTTTGGTTGTGTTTGGATTTACTCTTGGTATTTTTTAAGTGATGTCAATCAGTTCCTTTGGAGTGATGGCAGACCTCTGAATTTTTCAGACCCCTTTCAGACATCGTCATTTATTTTGCAGGGTGTGGAGAACTTCTCAGAAGATCTCAAAATAAAAGTAGTAGTCTCTGACTCTAATTTTAGAGATAAGTATCCAGGTATATGTACCAGCACTTTGCGAAATCAGACAGCAAGACACTGCCAAGCTTTGGGTCATCTTCTGAGTGTTTTCTGATGAGGAGGAGCAGTTCTGAAGGGGAGTTTTTGCCACTGGTATTGTCTGTTAAGAGTTTGTGGGAGCGGCACCACAGAGACCCTGCCAAATCAGTCTCCCTCTATTAAACAAAAATGTCTGGTTGGGCTGTTTCGCCTCAACAGATGAAGGTTTGGTTCCTCATTTTGGTTCTCCTGTCGAACACTGACTCCTTTGTTATCTGCCTGGAATATGGGTATATCATTCACTGCTGAGAAGATGGCTTGCGCTGATTGGTTGTCCAGCCCTAGGCAACTGTTGTGATTTTTTTTGTTGAGTGATAACAGTTCATCCCTAGCTAGGGTCTGGTGAGAGATCTGTGGAGACGTGAAAGAGTGAAAGCTTTATCCAGGGTTATTTTCTTCGTTGCTGGCACCCTCTCAACAGTGTTGTATCACTTTGGCCTGTGAAGGCACTTTTAACTTCCTATTTTTTTTCCTGTCTCAATGGACAGCACATGGGCTTTCCTGACAAGCCTGCCTGCCTCGATGAAGAGCTGACAGATTCATATTGGTTGGTTTGACAGATGTCCTCTCTGGGGGGAAAGTTCAGAAATCTTAAAAGCAAAGTCAGTCCTCAATAAAAAGTCTATGTCAGCCCGATATGCATATAGGCAGCGTATTTCTACTGATGGCTTCCATCATCTCAAGGTTGTTTTTTTTTTTCCTGGCAAAAGGTTAAAATGCAAGTAAAATTCTGCTTTCGTGATTAATAAGTCACTACCGCAGTTGTATCTGATGCTTCCTGTTTGCCCCATTTTAGTGTTTCAGTTAAACTGGAAACATCTGAGCATTATGGGCACTGTTGATGGCACCAGTGTGAAATTGTTGGGCAGGGGACAATTTGATGTCAGTGGATTTAGGGAGCTCTAAGGATGTCAGCCTCTCTGGTCTCTACACACCAGGATTCCCTAGTAAGGGAACAGAATGAGGCTGTGCATCTGCAACAGCTGGGGTGAGCATTCAAAGTGATGCATGTATGAAGGTTTTGCTCGGTGATGCTGGCTGAAATGCTGAAAGCAGTAGCCTAGAAGGGGAAGGTCAGATGTGGAGCAAATTGTAGGAGAGCATTTCTGTTGAGCTGAGCAGGACATTGAAATCTAAGATCCTTCGTTCTGAGCTTATGACTGCCTGAATGACAATTCGGAAAAAGTCATTTTTCTTCAGTGGCCAGTGTGCTCTTTGTATTCTACTTTAAACGAGCCTCTTCCCTTCTGCTTTTCTACATTTCTTAATCCTTCAGCTCCCTGATAGAAATACCTTGAGATTATGTGGCATCAAGAATAATTCTGTGGCCAGTCTTTGTATTTTTACCCGATACTCATGTGAAGAAAGGCAGGGACAAAGGTCGGAAAAGTGAAGCCTCATAAGGAGAAATAGACAGAATTGCTCAAAATCTAAACCCCCTTTTCTTGACATCTAGATCACTGCTTTTATTACTAACTTGTTCATGAAACGATAAGGATTTTCTTCCCTAAACATGCCAATTTTGAATATAACAAAACCAGGGTAGCAGCTTTATTCATTTATTGTACCAATCAATTATTAATTGGTATTGATTGTTAATGAATGAAAGGCTAAAAGATGAATAGCCTGCTGCCTGGACAAGTATGCTTGTGCCCATTTTCCAGATGTAGAAACGAAGGCAGACAACCCGTGATTTGTCCAGAGCAACAGCGCAAGTCCATGGTGTCTCTGTGTCACATGTGGTGGCTGAGGCTGTCAGGTCAGAGAGACCTGGGTCAGGTCAAGGTCTGCCACTGTCTGCCTGTGTGCCCGCAGGCAAATCACTTCACTTCTGTAATCATCAGGTGCCTCCTTCTGTGAATGGGATCAGAAGTACTTCATGGGGCTGTTTTGAGTAGAAAATGAGAGGATATATGTAAAGTGCTGACCCCAGGGTCCGGCACAGAACATAGCGGCTGTAACTGTTGTTATTGGTGGTGGTGGTAGTAGGAGTAATAGCAGTAGTAGTTGCCAATTACTGCATTGTGACTAAACCTGTTTTCTGTAAGATGATGTCAAGAAGGGTCAGACTGCCTGACAGCCCAGAGTCATTTTCTCGTAGGCCCTTTAGGGGGACAGTTCTTCAGTCTGAAAGTTTCAGCTGTCAAGTTCTCCCTGTCCTAGCACTATATACTGCCCTCGCCATACTCCAAATGAGCCTACCAAGGTCCAAGCTCTGCCCAGTTGACAATTTCACCTCTGAGCTGGAGACACAGCTGGGCCTGTCTAGGGGCTTCCTGCATCCCACATGTGATCAAGTAGGTTCCTGCATTAACCCTGGAGGTGAGGAAAGGGAAAATACTGTGTGGCGTGTAGGTTGGCAAGGACTTGTTCTTTGGGAGACGAGAAGGGAGCATTTGGTTCTGTAGGGTGAGGTTCCGACTACCACATGGCATCCCCAGCTCGCCACACTTTCTCTCTTATAAAGATGTATTTGTCAGCTTCTCTCCAGGACTATGTCTGGGGGCCCAGAATCTGCAGTCAGGGACTTGGAGATTTCCCTTTAAATATCACAAGAAGCCAGGTGTGGTGGTGTACGTTTCTGTAGTCCCAGCTACTTGAGAGGCTGAGGTGGGAGGATCACTTGAGCCCAGGAGGTCAAGTAGCTATAGGCAACATAGCGAGACCCCATCTCTCAAAAGAAAAACATTTTTTTTTTTATCTCATAAGGGAAAAAAACAGTTTCATATTATATTTTAAAGGCTTTTTTCCCCTTTAAAACAAAATAAAAATATAGGCTCTCATCAGGCTGCCGTTCCCTTTAAATAACATTTTGTTTTCTCTTGGGGAAGCTGACTTGATGGCCGAAGAGTCATTTCTAAAGTGAAGCTAGTTTTTAGAAAAAATAGATCACCGGATGTCAAGCCTCATGTGGAGCTCAATTCAGATGAAAATGAAACCAGCAGGCCTGGCCTGGCAGCTCTGCACTTGACTTCAGGCTGGAAGCGAGAGGCAGAGTGTGCCTGAACCTTGCTCCATAACTG